ACCTGTTGTTCACTGATGATGGCTACACTGAAATTCTAGTTATAATACTGCACATTAAGGCTATTACACTCGGAGCCAAATTAAAAATGTTAAGCTCCTCTAATAACCTCCCTTTCTCTTTACACTTTAATCAGGCAGCTGGAACCACCCACAGAGGCAACGTGGGATTTGCTAATACGATGCATGGGCATTCATTTAAAAACGCACCTCTGATTCTATTTATGTGAAATCCTTGGCCAAACCAGGAAGCAGAATGGTGTGATAAATGATTAAAAAAAAATAAATAAATAAAATATCTTCACCTCTAACATGTAATTCTTCAGATGAGACAAAAATATACATCCCAACCCAAAGCTGCATTAGCTAGCGGTTCTCATATTTTATTTCTGGACCTGCGGTACAACAGAACACAATGCAGAGATGACGTACTTAGTGAAAGATCTCGCCATAATCTGGATGAGACTCAAGAACAGAGGACAGAATTAATTTTGTGACTGGCAAGGATGTTACTCGCACACGGACAACACGATTCGCCTTTTTCACAGAGGCACCCACTTTGACGTCAATAAGCGAAGCGAAAAAGAACCAGTAAAAGTGATGTGCTCTTCAAGAGCCATGAGAATAATATCCTGTGAAACAATGTTTCTAAGGCACAGAAGTAACCTGATACATCAAATTACAGAGAGATACAGTTAGAGAAGGCTTAAGAGAAGCTCTGGGAGTGGTTAGAACGGGGAGTATTGTTGGCGAAGTGCCATTTTCATTATTTTATCTGCTGAAATACATTCATCATGTGAGAAAAAGATCGTATACGAGGATCAAGAGACAAACGAAGGAGCAAAAAAAAATTCAGAAAATAAAAACCGGGAAGGTGCAGCTGCAGCAGGATTATTTAGAAGGTATTGTGTCACTGCCAGAGGGGAGCTTACCAGTATCAGACACAATAAGCTCCACCAATATTAATGTTCTCTTTACAAGTGTCCTACAGTGGGAGAAAATAAAGTAGCAGCAGAAGTCATAGCATGTGTGCTCTCTCACCCACACACAATTACATCAGTGCATGATCACTACACGTCAGTCCATACACCTGCACACGTCGTTACATTTTATTTAAGCAACAGAACACAAGAGGGACTGTGTTATCGGAAATAACATCACAGCCATAGACCATCATTCCTTGTGACGACACATGACCTGAGTGTTCTATTACTTTTATACAACCGGTTATACACTAAGAGATAAAAATAAAGCAAAGAAACCACAAACTGCTTCAAATATCTATGTTTAATATAAACTATTTCTTTAATCACAATAAAGTATTTCTACCACAAGTGGCTTGTTGCTATACAACAAAGTAACAATATTTTTAAGGGCAAAAAATACAGCCTGTAAACTAGCAGCTAGACAGAAAGCTTCATTAGGCATAAGGTTAATATAGTTATCATGTTTAATAGAAAAAGGCCAACTGAGATGATATTCTTTAAATGTTGCATTACTTTACTTACAAATTGAACGTACAGTTATCGTTCCAACCTCGGCGGAAACGGAATTTCATGCTAATTTACCAGCAAATGGGGTGGTTTTGCATCTGTATGCCATCTAGCAGCATGGATAATTAAATGTATGAAAAATTGTATTTAAAATAGTCTATTTTTGGCTGCAAGGGATGGTTCATACAGCTAGGGCTTTTGGGTCACTACATGAACTGTAATTTAAGATTACTCAGTTACAGCTTACGTAAAAGGTAGGCTAAAGGATAGAAGTTGTATGATATTTTTTCTAATACTTAATCTTTACTCATTTTGTTGGTTAACAAATCAAAAAGTAAAGCGACAACTGCTGTTACTTAGCCACCTGTAGTCAGCGCAATTATACACAGTGGGTGAATAAAACTCCGCTGCTATATCTATATCTGACAGAAAACAACCAATTAGATTTGGTGTATACATTAGTATTCCAGAACATCTGAGCATTTTTACTCTCCACCTCACCCCTATTATGAGAATGCTGCTAAAATGCACCTGGTTGCTTTTTATGCCCTTTAATCACTTATGAATATGTGCAGCAGACAAACAAAATTGCTCAAAAGTCATCTCACCATCACTAAATCCCTTTTCATCACTGATTGAATCATCTTCTCATCTGAGGCAGTTGACACACAGCGCCATGTTTTCATCGAGTCTGGATTTTCATGGAGACTGGTTCCGAGCCATGCCCAGGCTGACATCCTCTTCCCATCTAAAAGTGTTACCATATATCAAATTTGCTGGCAGGAAGCTTTGACTGACAGCCTTGGAGGCAGAGCTACACTGTGCCTATGGAGAAAAAATGTCTGAAATGATCAACAGTTTAAACCTGAAACTTGGGGATTACCATGCTCATCACTCCAAGCATCTGGAACAGATGTTCAGCAATGAGGCTGATCTGCGTACCTGGAGAACTCAAGAGGGAGGGGAAGAAAAAAAAAAAAAAAACTCTTGTATGTGGTCCATAAAGGCTGTGGTGGAGGCTGGGGATGTGCAGTGAGCAGGGCTTGTAGACATGCATATTACTGAAAGAGTATCTTTTCCTTATCAGTGGATGAAGTCCAGAAAGGAGTGAAAAGGAAGACAGTTTCCTTTTTCTATGCAGGAAGAGTGAAATATGCGTGTAGTGTGTCGGTGTATGTGAATAAGTGTTCGACATGGCAGATGAGTATTACAGAGAAACAGAGGGTTGGCTGTGTGTGTGTGTGTGTGTGTGTGTGTGTGTGTGTGTGTGTGTGTGTGTGTGTGTGTGCGCGTGTGCGTGTGCGTGTGTGCGCGTGTGCGCGAGTAAGTGTGTGTTCTGATAAAGAGAAAGGGGGAGTGAGGGAGAACGGAGACAGAGCAAAAGAGTTCAGTATGAGTCCAGAGAGAAAGAAAAGCCCTTTTCTCTTCTTGTCTGCAGACAGCATCGTGCACAGGAAATGAACAAAAGCCCTGACTGAATCAGCTGGAGATCACGCCCGGTCTCTGCTTCTCTGTTCCCACACACACACACACACACACACACACACACACACACACACACACACACACACACACACACACACACACACACACACACACACACACACACACACACACACACACACACACACACACACACAGAGAGAGAGAGAGAGAGAGGATTCCTATCTTTCTCATCACCTGATCATTTTCTACGAACCTGTCTGTCGGCTCCTTCTCCATTTCTTTACTCTCAGTCTCCATCATTTTCTCTCTTCCTCCTTCTCTCTGCCACTTCTACACTGTTTAACCAACAGACTATATGTTATCAAAAGAAAAGAAGTCTGAACACTAACACAGCCAAAGGGAAAAAAAACAAAGTCTGAAACTTCACTCTCGCTCACTCCTCTCCTGTCCTCTCTGAGCGTTCCTGAGCTGGAGACTGTCCAGAATCAGTAATAACGTGCTAAGGAGAAGACAGGAAATACTGGAGAAGTCGAACAATGTTATGACAATACTTATAACTTTTACAGTCGGGGCCCAACTGCACATCTGCACATCATCAGACACTAGCTGGCCCAGACGAAAGGAAACCATTTTCACTCCGGACTCCAAACAGATGTTATCACTTTGCCAATAGTCCATTTTTTCTGTGTTTTTGCACCACCCCTGTCCAAAAAAAGCTGAGCAAAATAAATAAACTGGAGGCAACGTGTTCATGTTTCAAAAGTAAAAATGGGAGGTGATGTTCCGAAATGTAAGAGACTGGAGGGGGGAGAAATGGCACAACAATGAATAATAGTAGCCGTAATTGATTTAGCGTGAAGTAATCTGCACTGGGGTCCTGGGGGGAGGTGGATTGCCTCGCTGGAAGATGAATCTGCCGTGGGGTTGCAACGCAACAAGCAAAGGCTATGTAGAGCACAGTGACGCTCCCATGCCTGAGAGACACTCAACCGCCTGTGAAATTAGCAGTGGGATGGATATGGAGATATGGTCTGCAGGGCAATATGGCATCCACTGAAACTGAGCTAGAGCTTCATGTTGTTCTTCTTTTGGCTGCTCCCGTTAGAGGTCGCCACAGCAGATTGTTGGTCCGCATATTTGATCTGGCACAGTTTTTATGCCGAATGCCCTTCCTGACGCAACCCTCCCCAACTTTTCCGGGCTTGGGACCGGCACTGGGAGTGTACTGTCGTGTCCAACCCCAGTGGTTGGGGTCAGTTCCCTGGCTGGGACTCGAACCCGGGCCACAGCAGAGAGAGCACCGTGGCCTAATCACTAGTCCTCTGGGGACCTGGAGCTTGAACTGAATACAGTGTTAGTTGAAGTTCTGTAAATTATAAATACTTATCATATTTCTAACCTGGAAGAAATATTAGAAATATAAGAAATATTAACTTCTGTTAAATGAATACACTAAAGATGCTTTTAGAACACTGCAGCATTATCTGTTACTCTGTTCCATGTTGTTTGTATCAGTGACTTTCACAAGACTGGAAAATGTCTGAGTTGCATGAAAATGTACAGAATTCATTTGACTACAAATTCTAAAATATATTCAACACTTATAAAAAGAATCTATGGTGGGATGATGTGCTGATTGTTGATGATTTTCCTATAACAGAACATCGCAAAGTGTTTTATTCCTACACCATAGATTCTTTTACACTACAGCAATTTGCCAACAATTATTTTAATAATATTTAAGTGTAATGGATGACATCCTGCATTTTTTAAACAGTTACATTTATTGTTGTGGAATGTCTATGAGGCAAGTTATTTCCTGTTTATCATTTATGTTATGTCAGCAATAAACAATCATTCCCTCACAAGCTGGTCTGTCATTATCTTTTTTTGAAGCCAGTAGGACATAAACAATGCAGATTTTCATGTTTCAGAAAAACCGAAAAGCGTAAAGTCCTCAGTCCTGAAGTGATTATACTTTTTCTTTGTTAAATAACACAGCTTTTTAATCCATTCCATTATTAACCTTTTTTAATCCATTATTAACCTTAGATTTTGTGTCCACCATACAGGTCTTTGTGAATTTATTAGCAACTTTTGACCAGTCAGATTCGAGAATTCAGCAGAGCTGTGGCAGAACTGATCTTAGCCAGAAACCTGCAATCTTTAATCACTCCCGCACAAATTCCCACTATGTCAGATTTTTACATGGCAAATGAATCAAGATGATGGGCAAAGTAACAAAAGAGAACAAAACAACATCTAAAAAAAATACAAAAATACAGTGAAAGATGGTGCAGGATGTTGGCTTACAAATATCAATTAAACACTTAAATACTACAATACCAGATGAATTTTTTAATTTACTGTCATGGGAACTGGTTGGTTCTGCAGCTCTACACACCCCCTGCAGTGCACATCTGTGCTCTCATTTGACCATTTGGTTAAACTCCAAAACTTTCCGGGTAGCAGTGATACTTCAGGCGCATTATAACCACATCTTTATCCCCTGCCTCACTACAATATAATAAAACACGTGTGGGATAGAAGTGAGCTTTCACAGGTGTTACGTTCTGTTTATTTACATCTCATATGAACGATGCAGCCCTCCAACTTTCTGCACCTTTTTGGAAACAGAAAGTTAATTATACTAAATGGACTGTGAGGCATGGAGGTATGTTTCCAGCTGGGATTTTTGCAGTGCATTTCTGGGCGAAAGAAAACAAAACAACGACAACAACAAAAAACTCTTGCTCATTGCAGCGCTGTGATAATAAGCTTTTATTAGCAAACCATGTCTAATCGTAGCTGACATGCTGAGGCTGTTTAGAAACCCGTTTTCTAAAAGTGCTCTGTAGCATCCCATGCTACATTAGGTTTGCACTGAGTTCCAGTCTAATCACAACAAACTCCTCCTCTGCTTTTTTTTTTAATCATTAAATAAAGCACAAGCTAGCATATACTGTGGATTAGAGTCAAATCTGGTTATGTAGGCCTTCCCTTTAATTTCTGCTGATTTTGGAAAATGAAAGGGAAAAAAATTATTTGTTAGTTTATAAATAAATAGTGCTATTTCCCAAATGTGCAAGAACAAATAAAAGGGAGACTCTAGCCATGTGCATCACTGTGCGTGGTTTCATGCTAGTTATTAGTGTAGTACCAGTGTCATATAGAGCAGGCCTCCTCCACTTTAAGTGTCAACATGGGGCGGATTAGGCTGACAAGAGGCTAATGACAGGGGTGTGCTCACTCCTCCGTCACTAACACAGCTCAGACACTGAAGAGCCATATTTGGGATGCAAACGAGAAAGGGATTCCCCAGAGTATCAACCTCACGCTTAAAGCCATGTGACATAAGTGAGAGTGAAGCGAGTGAGTTTAAGTAGGTAACAGCTGCACAACAGAAGCTCACCCCATCCACCACTCATTTTCAAATCCATCATTTCTACAGAGAAAAAGGCTTCTAGTCTGTGTAGCAACAAATGTCAGCTACTAAGTTATTAAGCATAACTCATGTTTGAAGATGGCTGCCACTGGCAATGCAATGGTTGGATGCAGTTTGTTGCACACAGAGAACAAGTGTTTCATTAAGAGGCAACACAATGTAGACAGCCTTCCTGAGTTAGTGAGAGGAGACTCAGCCAAAGCCTAAAGTGGGGTCAATGAAGTTCTGTACAGGAGTCCAAAACAGCAGAAATGGGGGAGAGAGAGAGAGATCGCGCAACAGCTGTGAGTAGTTCTGCCATCCACCGCTGGCTAAAACATAAATAAAATCCACTCCAGACTGCACTCTGCTTACAGTCAGCTACATTTTCTGTACAGCAGAAGCAGGACAAATGAAAGTGTCATTTTGATGCGGACAAGAGATGAGAGATGAGTCACACTGATTTGCTGTGAATTGCTGTGGAATACAAAGCTCAACAGAGGCGGATCAGATCCACAAGACTCTGTAATCATCTGACACAGCAATGTCAATATCATGTGTAGCTTGCTAAAATGATCCACCACGAGTGTAACTGTAACACTAATGGTAACTAAATATAACACTAATCTTCACCTTTCAGCAGTTCTCAAACATTTTGCAGCCAGAAAGGCTTATTGGTGAGAAATAAAAATGAAACTCCATATGCTCAAAGCTCAGATTTATCCACCTATTCAAACAGGCCTTTTGTTTGCTTCTCTGGCTAATCCCTTCTTTACTAGGTCACTGTAAAGTGATTTTCTTTTTATTTTTATAATAGATGTTAAGATTTTGGGATTACATATTTATTTATTAATAACCAAACCTTAATTGATACTTTTCGAGAACAACTTCTGTCCCAGAATGCTTCTGCTCATAATGAGGTGAACTCCATTCAACTAATTATGCAACTTCTGAGGGCAAATGGTTGCACCAGATGTAATTTAGGGGTTTCTTAGAATTGGGGGGTGTATACTTATTCACCCCTCTTCCCATTTCAATATCATGGGCTATTTTGTGTAGATTCACTAAGTATTGTCCCAATTAAGTCCATTTCATTTCCTAGTTGTAATGCTGTGAAATGTGGAAAAGATCAAGGGGGTGAATACTTAGGCAAGGCACTGTGCGTCATCATATTTATTTACTGCTAGAGACTTCTGAACTCGCCCACAGAACCCAAGGTAATTACAATATGTTGAAAGGGTTGAAACATTTTGTATCATACTGTGTATACAGCACTGTATAGGATTCAAGCTGACATTATTTGTGCCTGTTGGTGTTTAGGTTATTGTGCTTTATATTAGGAAATGAACAACTTCCTAAAAGAACATTATGTGAGTAGCATATCTGTAAAAGTATGTATTTGAATGGGGGGAAAGGGGGGGGGGGTGTTAGAGGAGTAGTTATGTCTTTAAATAAATGATAAAATCATGTCTTCAAAAAATGATAATCACAAAACCTTTGGCTGTACATCACTGACCCCTATAGGCCCTCGGGTTCCATTCTCAGAAACATGATGACAAAAAGCACAGGTTCTCTCTCTCTCTCTCTCTCTCTCTCTCTCTCTCTCTCACTCTCTCACACATACACTCACAAACTCGCTACCTGCCCCATCCCAAATATGAAATATCATTCCACATACCCTCAAGAAAACTATTAAAAACTATAAAAACAACAGAAAAGGAAACAGATGTTCTCCTGTATATGTCTGAAAATATACTCTAGAAAACTCATACCATGTACAAGCAACACAGTAGGAGGGGAGGAGTCTAATAATTATATGACACACATACATATATATACACACACACACACATACATACACACACATACATACACACACACACACACAGTGCTACAATGCTACCAATTTGCACATGAGTCATATAAGTCTACCTGGCCTTTATGATTGATAGACTACAAGTAGTAAGAATTAGCAAAACAAAATCAGAACTACTACAGACCCACGTGACCCTCCGAGACATTATTCACCAGCTCCTACTCGCAAAAAAACACACTAAATACTGATAAATATCTGTACAATTATGAAAAGTAAATGGTCAGAAGGAATAAAATAAATGAATTTCATGTTAGCATGTGAATGGATGATGAATCAAAGGACTGAGTCAGTGTGTGAGTTACATAAGAGACTGAAAAGAGTTCGCTTTCCTCCCTTCACAATGAGAATAACCATTGTTTTGAAAGCTTCCTTCTAACTGCTCCACTGTGAAAAAAGATAGTGTACCTCCCAACCTTTATTTTGACAAAGGAACAAAAGGGGGAAAAACAGAAATAAAGAAAAAGGAGAGGACAAAAAAAAATAATGTCATGGATAAACCTATTAGTTTCCTCCCCATCTGCAGACCCAGTACCCACACACAGGAGCTTAAAAGCTATGGAGGGAGGCAAGAAGGAGGATTGAGTGTATAGTCTTTCCATTCAGCCAGAGCTTTGTGGAGTTCCAGTCGGAGTGCGTACACACATGTATCATTTCTGTGCTGATTAAAGAAGAAGGATGGGTTCGCAGCGAAGAGTTTAAATGCAGCAGACCTCCAGCTGGAACGTGATAAGGAACGATAAAAAAAAAAAAAAAAAAAATGTTGAAGCACGCTTTTTTTCTCTGTGTTTTAATCTTCTCCTTCTTGTAATGTAACACTGGCTTTGGGGGTTTGCCTTGAAGCTTTTATTTAAAACACATGTTCACTCTCGCTTAAAAAAAAATGCTGCTTTATCGCTCCATCAATCTGGAGACACTAGCTGATTCATTTCCAGCATGGCAGGGGCTTTGAGAGTGTGTATGTGTGTTTATGTGCATAGTTCTTTACTGTAGGCATATATATATATATATATATAAAAAATCTAGCGAACA